TCAGCCTCCTGAGTAGCTGGGATTACAGGCACGCACCACCATGCCCAGCTAATTTTTTGTATTTTTAGTAGAGACGGGGTTTCACCATGTTGACCAGGATGGTCTCAATGTGTTGATCTCGTGATCCACCCGCCTCGGCCTCCCAAAGTGCTGGGATTACAGGCTTGAGCCACCGCGCCCGGCCTCTCTGAGATGTTTGACAATGATTGCAGTGTATCTCTACTAAATTTGGGAGCATTGCTATCTGAACAATTTTAGTCTTTAAATCTATGAACATGGATGTATTTCTATTATTTTAGTTCTCTAATTTTTTTCAGCAATGTTTTATAGTTTTTAGTGCACAATAGTTAAACGTCTCTTGTTAAATGTATTTTTAAGTGTTTTATTATTTTATTTATATGATGTTATTCTTTCTTCTGCCAGTTCAAACCTGCTGTTGATCCCCTCAGGTGAATTTTTCATTTCAGTTTTTATACTTCTCAATTCCCAAATTTCTATTTGGTTCTCTTAAAAAAAAAAAATCTATTGATAATCTTTATTTGGTGAGGCCTTGTTTTATATTTTGACCCTTTAAGCATATTTTACCATATTTCTTTGACCCTATTTATGCTAGCTGATTTAAATTCTTTATCTAGTAACACCAGTGTCTGGGCTTCTTCATGGATAGTTTCTATTAAACTGCTTTCTTTTTCTATGTACGAGCCATACTTTCCTATTTTGGTGTGATTTTTGTAATTTTTTGTTGAAAACCGTCCATTTGAAATAATGTGGCAACTGTGGAAATCAGATGCCCTCCTCCCTGGGTTTATTGTTGCTGGCTTTTTGTTGTTGTTGTTATTGTTGCTGCTGCTGCTGTTTGTTTACTGTGTTTTCTAGGTGAATTATGTAATTCTTCTTCCAGTGAGGTCACTGAAATCTCTGCTTGCTTATTTTAGTGGGCATCTAATATTAGGACAGAGATTTATTGAAGTGCTTTGAACAGCCAGTCTCCTAGCTTTTGCTGAAAGGCTGTGTGTGTGTGTGTTATTAACACTCCAAAAGGCAGTTACAAGTCTGCTTTCACTACCTGTGTGTGCAGGTCAGCCAGAGGTGAAAGATTAGAGCCTTCTCAGATCTTACCTGAGCATATGCATGGTCTTACACATATGTGTGGCCTTTAAGATTTCCTTATGTTGGAACTTTTCAAAGTCTCCTGTGGACATCTCATTCCCCAATTTTCCCTTTAAACTTCTTATTCTGTCTCTTGTTAGCATCAATTGATGTCACCACCTCAGGTGCCTTCAGTGTTAAACAATTTTTGCTAATTATTTTTGGAAAATTTGCTCTGGCTCCTCTAATAGTTGCTAGGCTTCTGGCTTTCACAGCTACTGTAGTTAGTTGTCAAGCTGTTGGTTTCTGGGGTTAACATGGATTTAGGGAGAGGAGGATGAGAGAAATACAACTTAGACTACCACAAAGCTTAGTCTTCTTACCAAGATTCAGATTTCTTTTTCTTGAATTAACTCTCCTTAGATTGTTACAAGCCTTTGGTTAATCTTCCAGAATTTTGAAAAAGTTGACATTGAGATTTTTGCTAATGCTTTCATTTTTTGGAGGACTAAATTTTTGTAGGTTCTTACTTCATTCTTCAGGATGATCGCCTCTCTTTCTGCTATCTTGCCCTCCTTTTTCACCATGGACAGTGGTAGAGCATGATAATCCCAGCCACCCTGAACCAGTTACCTCTGTACTTTTAGCTGGAATGCAAGCTGTCTTGTACTAAGAAAGAAGTTAAATTAATTTTTTGTACTGTTGAAGTATGCTATTTGTAACGATCAGGAAATACTTTCTTATTTTAGCTCAAGGATCTAAATTTACTTGATCGCTGTATAAAAGAAACATTAAGACTTAGACCTCCTATAATGACCATGATGAGAATGGCTAAAACTCCTCAGGTGAGTATCTTGGCTACATCTTCCCCCTTATACTCCCAGTTTTTATTTATCAAAAAGAGGAAATAGCTGGGTGTGGTTTACACCTGTAATCTCAACGCTTTTGGAGGCTGAGGTTGGGAGGATCACTTGAGCCCAGAATTTGAGACCAGCCTGGGCAACATAGTGAGACTGACCTCATCTCTACAAACATTTTTTAAAAAAATTAGCTGGCCATAGTGGCACGTGCCCCTGTGGTCCCAGCTACACAAGAGGCTGACGTGGGTAGATTGCTTGAGCCTGGGAGGTTGAAACTGCAGTGATCCATGATCATGCCACTGCACTGCTGCCTGGGCAACAAAGTAAGACCCTGTCTCAAAAAAAAAAAAAAAAAAAAGGAAGTAAAGTAGCGTAAAATAATTTTTTAAAATTAAAAAATATATAACTTCTATAGAATCATCAGTTTTACACATTCTAAATAGATACTTTCACATAATTGTAAATCGTATACATGCTAATCTTTAATGCTAATCATGCTCTGCATTTTCCTTTAACAATTGGGGTTTTAAGAATGAGAGTATATATTTTTCTTGGTTTTAAAAATAACATTTTGTTGCAAAAAATTGTTCTTGTGAAGTTTACAAATTGGATAGTGAAAGCCTCCCTGAAATTCCAACCCTACCTCCAAAGCATAATGGGTTTAATTTGTGTGCTGTGTACTTCCAACCCAACGCTGGCTCACTGGAAATCATCTTGAGTTAAAATAATTTTTAGTTTGCCTATTATCTAGCTAGTTTTTAAATATATCTACAGATGGTCCTTGACTTATGATGATTCAACTTACAATTTTTTGACTTTATGATGGATTTATCAGGATGTAAACCTATCATAAGTCAAGGAGCATCCGAGTATCCCATGCATATTAATGGTTTATTACATAATGATCTGATTATTTGGCAGCACATTTTAAAATTCTCTATTGAAATATGTGGCTTTTGTTTCTAGACTGTGGCAGGGTATACCATTCCTCCAGGACATCAGGTGTGTGTTTCTCCCACTGTCAATCAAAGACTTAAGGACTCATGGGTAGAACGTCTGGACTTTAATCCTGATCGCTACTTACAGGATAACCCAGCATCGGGAGAAAAGTTTGCCTATGTGCCATTTGGAGCTGGTAAGATGATTATATTTTAGATTGGAAGTTATTTGTTCTGTTAACATATTTGTCTCTTTCAAAATATTCCATATGAATTGTATTTACAGATTATCTCTCCATTTTCCATAAGGACATTTTTACAAACTTTTATGAGAGTAGAATATTTGTAAGTTGGAGAAAAATATTTCCTTTGTACTAAATGGAATTGTTCCATGAATCCCTATATAATGCTTCACTATCTCCTAACCTGTCTAGTTTTATTAGGTCTAATTTTTATAGTCCGCCCTTGTATTCCCTTATAACAGTATTTAAAGCCCTTTGTGAATTCTCTTAAAGAACGATTGGGGTCAGCACACCATTCAGGGAATTATTTTTGGTTAAATATCATAAAGGATAACATTTCACAAAAGAGTAAAGGTGGTCTTTTAAAATTAAAGCTTTTCTGGATTGTTAGTAACATTTTGGCTCTCTGTGAGTATCCTTATGATAAAATGTCTTTAAATTTGGGCAGGTTGTGTGTAGGCTTGCAAATTTCATTTCCAAGATCCTGAAATAATTTAGGTATACCCTTGTTTCTCCAGTAATTTTTCTATCCATTGGTTTTCTGTACTGATTAAACTATATTCTATGACTTTAGTCTTTCCAAAGGGATCATTTAGATGACAGATGACTTGTCATTGGTCACACTTTTTCTGCATATAAAGTATAAAATCCTCTAGGAACTTAAGATCTTAACTTTATTTAATAAATTTAATACTGTGGTATATAACATAGTATATAAAAGAATCATAGTTTTTATTTATTTATTTTTTTGAGATAGAGTCTTGCTGTGTTACCCAGGCTGGAGTGCAGTGGCACAATATCTCGGCTCACTGCAACCTCCATCTCTGGGTTCAAGTGATTCAGCCTCAGCCTCCTGAGTAGCTGGGATTACAGGTGTGTACCACCATGCTCAGCTAATTTTTGTATTTTTATTAGAGACTGGGTTTCACCATGTTGGCCAGGCTGGTCTCGAACTCCTGGCCTCAAGTGATCTGTCCTTTTCGGCCTCCCAAAGTACTGGGATTGGTACTCACACCCAAAGGTGTGAGCCATGCTGCCTGGCCAAAGAATCATAGATTGTTAATAGATGGGAAGAGTATTCGTTCTGTAGTCCAAATTCTGCCCCAAAGAGGAATCATTTCTAAACTAGTAATTTTCTGGTTTCCACTTGAGCTTTACTAGAAATGGGTTGCAGGTTGTTCAGTTACCTTATATGATAGTTCATTCCATTTTTGGATAGCTGTCATTTTTAGAACCTTATATGAGAGCCGAAAGCTGTTTCCTTTTAACATCCCATTTATAGTTGGTCCTAATAGTCTCTGAACTTATATTGTATAAGATATTTGAGTACAGATATAATGTCTCCTCAATCCTTTTTTCAATCTATTTATTAGTTTCCTAGGGATTCTGTAACTAATTACCACAATATGAGTGGCTTAAAACAATAGTAATTTATTCTCTGTCAGTTTTGGAGGCTGGAAGTATGAAATCAAGGTGTTGGCAGGATTGTGCTCCTTCTTAAGGTTCTACAAGGGGAATTCTTCTTTGCATCTTCCTAGCTTCTGGTGGCTCTTGTAATCCTTGGCTTGTAACTACATCACTCCAATCACTACCTCTGTCTTCAATAGGCTTTCTTCTTGTTCACGTCTCTGTATCTTCATGTGGCTTTCTTGTAAGGACACCAGTCATTGGATCTAAGGCCTACCCTAATGCAGGGTGATCTCATCTTAAATAATTACACACATAAAGATCTTATTTCCCAATAAGATCACATTCTGAGGTTCTGGATGAACTTGAATTTGTAGGGGGAGGGATATATGATCATCACGTTAATCTTGTTAAATATCACATTAAATGTCTCTAACTTCTTTACTCATTCTTTTACTTAGTAATTGTGCTGCTTGTTTATATTGGTGCATATAGTTCATTCATTTTCATAATATTGCATTTTGTGAATCATCAGAATTTATCTATTTTTCTGTTGATTCAGTTAGGATACTTCTTGCTTATTGTGTTTAAATCCTTTGACTATTCTTCTTGTAAGCCAAGCTTCTCTTTAGTTATATTTGAAATATGGACTGATTTATAAATGCTCATCTTAAATGTCATTCCTAGAAATAAGTACAGTTATGAGTCAAGCAAGCACTGTGCTAAGTACTCAGTATCAGTTTAATTTTTTTCTTTTGATGAAAAATCTTGCAACAAAATGCCCAAATCTTAAGTCAACATTCACTGAGTTTTGACAAATGAATAACCTTTAGTTAAGTCTGATTTATCAGTCTTTTAAATGATTTGCTTTCTGGCCCTATCTTAAAATCTTTGCTTAGCCCCCAAGTCATGAATATATTCTCCTGTTCTTCTCTACTAAAATTTGATGGTGTTAGCATCATGGTTTGTGACTCTTCTTGAATTAATATTTGATTATGGTGTGACATAGGAGTTGAATTTCATTTTCCCCCCATGTAATATCTAGTTATTCCTGGACCTTATGTTGAAAAGACTTTCTTTTCCTCATTGGCTTGCTTTGGTGTCTTTATTGATAATCAAATAACCATAAAAATATTCTGTTTTGGGCTCTCTGCTCTGTTCCATTGATCTATTTGTTGATCCTTACCTAGTACCACTCTGTGTTTTACCTTTAGTCTCGAAGTCAGACTTGAAGTCTGTTTAAAGTTCTCCAACTGAGTTATTTTTCCAAGATTGCTTTGGATATCCTAGGTCCTTTGCATTTTCGTATGTATTTTAAATCAGTTTGTCAGTTTCTACATGTATGTGACTTTCTAGTATATGTATTATTCTGGGTTCATTAAATTTAATTTTCTTCCATAATCATTTATAATGGCATTTGAAGTTTTGACTGGAAGGTTCTCATATTGACATTTAACTAGGGCCCTCTTGGGACAGAAACAGAATATTCTACTATATTCCCAAACTAGATTACCATCTTATGATTCAAACTTTCCATATAGTTAACCCAGATACATATTTTCAGGAAAATGTAATTGAAAAAGTTATGTGATTAGCCAAGAACTGTTTTCCTAAAATGTGATAGTTGAAAATCTCCTGGAATTTTTAATAATTCACCTTGTTTTATGTGAAAAGAATATCATCTTTTTATTATACTATCTGTACATTTGCTGTTCATCTAAAATGTAGATAAGCAAATATTACCACCTCAGGCTAAAAAGGATAAGAAAGAATTTAAACTGATTCTTCTAACTTTTTTTTTTAGGGCGTCATCGTTGTATTGGGGAAAATTTTGCCTATGTTCAAATTAAGACAATTTGGTCCACTATGCTTCGTTTATATGAATTTGATCTCATTGATGGATACTTTCCCACTGTGAATTATACGACTATGATTCACACCCCCGAAAACCCAGTTATCCGTTACAAACGAAGATCAAAATGAAAAAGTCTACAAGGAACTAATAATACATGTGATCATCACTGTAAGCCACAAAACCATTCGAAGAGAATGAAGTGTACAAAATAGTTCTTGTGGTGTACTGTTTTTTTGAGTAATTCTAAAAGCCAATTTATCATTTACCATTTTGTTAACTGGATGGTTCTATCAAATGTAGTAGCATTTGAAACATTTTCTAATAGTTATGAAACTTATACACGTGTGCTTTCAGGAAGTTCATTAGCAAAACAATTGTTCAGGGGGGATCTAGGGAATTGGCAGATTCTAAATAATATAATTTCCAGGTAGTAATTTTAAGAGTACACATAGCTCTCGGCAAATAAGTTTAGGGTATTCAAATCTTGGACTAATCCTGCAAGGCATAAAGAATAAAAATTCCAGTGAGATACTTGGAAATCACAGGTTATTATTTATCTGGGTAATTATTGTGTATGTGAGGATGGAGGTGTAGGGAATAAACGAACATCTAAAGTCTTGAATAAGAGAATACTAATTGTTTTGTTATGATGATAGAAATGGAGATGTTATAGAAAAAAATATATATCTTTTGGGATTTTAACTAAAATCACTGCATATAGGAAATTAAGAGATGTAGGACCATATCTGATAAGATTTCCTAAAAGTAATGAAATTATTAATGCTAAAGACTGCTCATGTATTTTGATCTAATCACTAAATATTACATATTTACCTATCTGATAAAATATGTATCTAGTTCTACAAGGTCACATTTATGTGGAAGTCCAAACTCAAATCCTTAGGGGATAATTTTATTTCTCTTTGGCTCAGGTTGTTTCTGCTTCCTCTCTAGAATCCAGTTAGGGATGTTTGTTACTACTTACGTTGATTAAAACAGCTAATAAACTTTTTTCTTTTCGAATATAAAATGTGAGATTAGTGAATTCTGGCTTTAAGATAATCTGAAACAGGTCCTTTGGAGTAATTGGTCACTTTCAGTTAAGCACATTCTGTTGAGGAATCAACTTATCTCAAATTGTAACTGGGAGCCTAATTATATGAGATGGCTGAAAAAAGACCACATAGTCCGTTTTCACTAGATGATGCCAAAATATTTTCCCTTATATATATTACAATTCTTTTTAAAAGGCTGGAAGACTTATGTTAAACTCTAATTGTGAAGGCAGAATCTCTACTGATAATTTTTCACATTAAAATTCTCTTTAGGCCGGGCGCGGTGGCTCAAGCCTGTAATCCCAGCACTTTGGGAGGCCGAGGCGGGTGGATCACGAGGTCAACAGATCGAGACCATCCTGGTCAACATGGTGAAACCCCGTCTCTACTAAAAATACAAAAAATTAGCTGGGCATGGTGGTGCTGCCTGTAATCCCAGCTACTCAGGAGGCTGAGGCAGGAGAATTGCCTGAACCCAGGAGGCGGAGGTTGCGGTGAGCCGAGATCGCGCCATTGCACTCCAGCCTGGGTAACAAGAGCGAAACTCTGTCTCAAAAAAAAAAAAAAAAAATTCTCTTTAAAAAAATAGTCTGTATTCATGAATTGTAAAGTATGCGCTTCATTGAGCATTGTCAGGGAATCTAGGAACTTGGGTGGGGAAAATTACATCTTTATTTGCACTAATTTTTTTTTCTGAGATGGAGGAGTCTCACTCTGTTGCCAGGCTGGACTGCAGTGGCGCAATCTCGGCTCACTGCAACCTCTGCCTCCCGGGTTCAAGCAATTCTCCTGCCTCAGCCTCCCAAGTAGCTGGGCCTATAGGTGCCCACCACCACGTCTGGCTAATTTTTTCTATTTTTAGTAGAGATGGGGTTTCACCATGTTGGCCAGGATGGTCTTGATCTCCTGACCTTGTGATCTGCCTGCCTCGGCCTCCCAAAGTGCTGGGATTACAGGTGTGAGCCACTGCACTTGGCCTATTTGCACTAATTTCCAATTGCAATTTAGTGTTTATGTCATTTATGAATTTGGGCAGCATACCACACTAGTATTAGCAGTACATGACTTTGTCAATAGAAGTCTCAGATATTTTCATATTACAGATGTTATAGATTTCTTGAATTATCTAGTTACAAACCCGAGATAAGGCCAGTCTGTTTAGTGAATAGTATTAGACTTAACAGATTTCATTTTTAATCACAGACTAATTATTGAGAAGCAAAAACAAGCGTTGATTGCAGAGGCCTAATATCATAAGGAGGCTTGGTGGTCAAACAATGGCAGTGAACTCATCTTGATCAGATCATTTGTCCATCTGTTCTTTCCTCCACTGTCTCCTAGAGCAGAATGGCCAGCTATGCTAGCTGAAAAAGGTTTTTACCCATAACCTGCGCCTTCAACTAACTGCTTTAGAGTATGTTTGCTATTTCTAGAATTCCTTTTATTGGAATCCAGCTTCTAATGTGGAAAATTTAAGTACGGTTTGCCCCCTATATTTTTGGGTTTTGCATACTCTGATTCAACCAACTGCAGGTTCAAAATATTAAAAATAAAACCCCACAATAATAAAAAGAATACACTATTAGCAACTATTTATATAATGTTCACACTGTATTAGGTATCATAATCTGGAGATGATTTAAAGCACACAGGAAGATGTGTGTAGATTATTTGCAAATAGTACACTGTTTTACAAGAGACTTAAGCATTTGCAGATTGTAGTATCCAAGGGAGATCCTGGAACTAATCCCCCACACATGCCAAGGAATGACTGAAATTAGAAACAAGAATGTACAACTTTCTACCATGCTTGTTTGTGTTGGTATAAATCATGGAACATCAAATAATAAGACAAAATCCTCCAGATGTAAGCATCAAATACTAGTCCTCTTGCTGTTTTGTGAGTTGCCATATTACTGGGGAGCACTCCAGATGAGAAATAACATTGGAATTTGTATTATCTCGGTGAGAGCCTCCCAATCGTAAAATGGCTTGGACAACAGGGATACTGTTTAATTCTGCTGCAATGTGATTAAGATCTTTTGAGTTTGATTTCTTCATCTTTTTAGTGGCCATGGATTTGTGAGAACACATCTTTGGATACAAGTAACACTAACTGTAATATAGTAAATATTGATTAATCATGAAATACCAATATAGCTTTTAAAAAACGGGCGCGGTGGCTCACGCCTGTAATCTCAGCACTTTGGGAGGCCGAGGTGGGTGGATCACGAGGTCAAGAGATCGAGACCATCCTGGTCAACATGGTGAAACCCTGTCTCTACTAAAACTACAAAAAATTAGCTGGGCATGGTGGCACGTGCCTGTAATGTAATCCCAGCTACTCAGGAGGCTGAGGCAGGAGAATTGCCTGAACCCAGGAGGCGGAGGTTGCGGTGAGCCGAGATCGCGCCATTGCACTCCAGCATGGGTAACAAGAGCAAAACTCCGTCTCAAAAACAAAACAAAACAAAACAAAAAAAAAAACACTACGTAGATGTAAAGTTGACACACAGGCACATGGAAAACTTTAAACAGTATTAACTCTAAGATTAGGACAACTTTCTCTGAATCTCTCACTCCTGTGTATTTGACATAATGAGATGCTGTATACCAAGAACTATGGCTCAGTTAAAAATGAAGAAGGTTCAAATACAGTGTGGTGAAAATGGTGAAGTCATTTTTATTTCAGTACTTGACAAAATACCCCATAAAATTCAAAACTTCTACGTTATACAAAAATAGGTCTCTACAAGTGATATTATCTGTCTTCATCACCAGTAGAATATATTAGGCAGAAACATGTAACTTCAGTAGCCTTATAAGAAAAGTGCAGGACACCTCAAGCTACACATTCAGCAGTAATGTAATGCGTAAAAGTTTAATCTTTTCTTCACCCATTTGATAAATACACAAGGTTTATAATTTAATGTTTTAAATTAGCATTCCACAAATATACAGGTAATTCAATGATTATTGTGCATGAATACATACACAATGCTTATATATACAAATTCCAGTTTGTTTTCATGTGCTGGCAAGGGATTTGTATACAATCATAAGCTGTGTTCGTATTGGTCCCACCGAATATTCACAATACAAAAGCACAAAAGAACCACTGATTTACAAAAGGAAATCTGTTTTAAATCACTTCAATTAATGACGTTTCAAAAGATTATCTTCTAATGCCAGCATGAAAGTGAGTAGTTGAACCTATGAGAGAAAAACAGGAAATTCAAATGATTTCAAATTACAGTGCTACCTGTTATCAGACCCACTACAGTTCACACAAAGGGGATTACTATTATTCTCAATTTTTTTAAAGCCCTTTTTTTCCCCTTAAAATGTCTTCTTCATACTTAAACGGATTCCACCTGCCCCTCTACCCTCCAAACGGAGTCTTGGCTCTGTTGCCCAGGCTGGAATGCGGTGGTGTGATCTCGGCTCACTGCAACCTCTGCCTCCTGGGTTCAGGTGATTCTCCTGTTTCACTTTTCTGAGTAGCTGGGATTACAGGCACATACCACCATGCCTGGCTAAGTTTTGTATTTTTTGTAGAGACAGGGTTTCACTGTGTTGGCCAGGCTGGTCTTGAACTGGCTGGTCTCCAACTCCTGACCTTGTGATCTGCCTGCCTCAGCCTTCCTGCCGCGCCCAGCCCATAAACTTAAACTGATTTTTAAGAGATTTTGAATATATATTTAAAAGTCACCATGACTGGGCTCTATAGCAAGGTAGGTGAGACTAATGTTTAGAGTTTCTTTAATGTGCTCTCAAAGTTGAATGTTCTATACCTCATATATTTTTGAAAAGTCTTTTGGTCTTCAAAATCTGCATCTTGTGAAATTTGGGTGCTCAAAACAAGCCAAGGCAAACCAACCAACAAACCTCAGCTATGATAATAAAAGTTTCCTATTACTACAAGTTGCTTGGGTTAAACAAATGATTTCTTGAAGAGATACACTACTAAGTTAAAATAGTATGTTATCAGCCAATAGTTTGTGAGACTAGTAGGAAAAAAGGGTCTTTAATAAAAGTAAAAGCAAAATATAAAAGTTGACTTAGAGCACAATCACTTAAACTAAAATGATTCAAAGTCTCTGAATGAGGAGTGAAGTGAAGTGAGACAGGGAAAAGAGGTTTTCCTTCCCGGAACAGGGAATCCACCTTTATTTTAAAGTGTTCTTTGGTTTTGAACAAAGAAAAATAAAAGAATCTTTACAAAGTATTTTAAATGGAATAGTTTTTTGGATCATGCATAAAAGCACAATGTAGTAGTAGGGATGATGGCTACATTAAGTGCTTCAAGCAAGTGCTTCCTCCTTAACTCCACCTGATTCGCATGCCTTGCCGCTTTCTTTTTTTTTTTTTCTTCTTTGAGACAGGGTCTCGCTCTCCCACCCAGACTGGAGTGCTGTGGCACGGCCCCTTACCACTTTCTACCATGCACTACTTAGGAATACGTTCTCCAATTAGGCT